ACAAACAAGTCTAATATCTCTATAACGATCTTTAGTTTTATGTAGGTTGAGAAATATATCTCGCAATCGTTGTATACGGTCAAAATAAGTTTCGACCTTTGTATGACTAGTCAAGATTGGAACATAATGGACCTAATGTCATCTTCATAATATCGGGATGAGATTCGAAGCCAGGTTACCGAGATCAAATTTCTGGGACCGATCGAATGCCGAGCTCGAACTCATTACCAAGCTCGAGTCCAAATCGAACTATGATGTGAGGTGGTGTCATCGAGCCTAAGAGCCAGAGACTGACCAATATCGAGCCCGAGTCGATATCGAGCCTCGAGTTAATATCGAGCTCTAAATCTGGAAATCGACCAATACCAAATCTGATCAAGACCGAGCCAAGAGACAAGAGTCGTTACGGCCGCACTGAGGGAGAGAATCTCCGTGGGAATTAGGGAAAACCTAATCTATCGTGGGTTCCCACTATGTATTTTTAATTATATCCAAAGTATGATCCCTCCACTATAAGAGGGATGTCAGGATCCCTCCACTATAAGAGGGATGTCTATTATTTCTGTAAGGGGATCTGAGATGAAGGCATTCATACACTCTCATATTATTGATATTCATATTGAGATTATACCTTTTTGGGCTTAGTACATTGATTCATGTTGCTTGTTCATAAAGTATTTTCTACTCAATTTGGTTTGTATTCCATTCTTTACACAGTCAATACTCAATATATTTCTACTTACTTTTCGACTACGTATTTTTAAAATTACGTATAAATTCAACTCTATCCGTTTTTTCGGTAAACAAAACAATCATATAATCTCATCTCTAAATTTCTCTCATTTCTTTCGATTTTATCGTAAAAGTGCAGAAATGACACCATACTGCCGTCAACAAGGCAAAGTAAATGTTTGATTTAGTTCACCGAACTTCTTTGTTTTTCTGGAATCTTCTAAATGCACAAAAGAGCATTGGATTATCATAAGTTTTCTTTAAACTATTGAAACGTCTACTTGATGTGACAATGGTCTTTTCGCATTTTCCTATCGACTAAATTTCCAGCAATTAAATTACTTGACTTTAATTTGGAGTAAACTATTATTTGTTGTCATTTTCAAATCTAAAATGCACGTAATTGGAGATATTCTTTCTTTACCTTACTTCATATGGTATTTTTATCAACACTGAGAATATTTGCTATGAAAAAACGGTGTGAAGAGATAGTACATCCAAAGTTTACAGTAGGATATCAATTAGTACACCATATTTTGTATAATTGATGATTTCTATGGCTTCTTATTTTTTGTTACATTACTCTAGAAAATTCTAGCTTTATTAATGGGGGCGCTAGCAAATTCTCTGTGTTAAATATTTAACTACTCAAATTGTACTATGCATGGCTATTTTCTTGTTTCATCAACTAGATTGTATCAGCTTAGCAAACTCAGAGATTTCTAACATACTTAATTACCATTAACCGAATGTTAGTTAGATTCTTACTCTTACCTATTGTTCATAGCTCATACTATAATGCGGAACAAGATATATAAATAATAAAGGCACTTTGTCGAACAAAGCTATAAACTACTCCCGATGTGCATAATTTGATAAATATTGAATTACCGTACTGAAATCGAAAATTTTAGTATTTGGTATTTGATATTTTGGTATTCGGTATGATATTTAGTTTAATTTATAAAAAAAATGGTCTTAGGTATGGTATTTGGTATTTTAAAATGAAATACCGAAATACTGATATCGTACCAAAATATATATTATATTACACAATACACATATTATTAAGTATAACATAAATATAAAATATCTAAAAAGTTTACTTTCATTTATTCTCTAAGTTCATCGATTAACTCTAAGCAAGTAACAAGACATTTCTAATGATCAAATTTATTCCTTTCTGTACAGTTTTTTCTCTCTGGGTTGATATTTGGTTTTGGACAAAACTTTTGTTAACAAACATTTTTATTTTTGTACTTTTGAGTACTTTAATTAAGAATATTACAGTCTATGACTTTATGCGCTAGTTAGTATTCAAACCGAAATTACCGAACCGAATAAGCCGAAATCGAAAGGAGAAAAACTGAACTATACCGAATTTAATTAGGAACATTATTTGTATAACATTTTAAGAAAGTGAATACCGAAAATACCTAACCGAAATGTCTAAATACTGTATCGTACCGTACCAACAAACACCCCTACTACTCCCTGTGTCTCAATTTATGTGATGTGATTTTTTCTTTAGTCTGTCTCAAAAAGAATGATAGAACTCACCTTTCTCTATTTAAAAATAAGTGAACTTCAAATTTCTTATTTTACCTTAATAAGATAACTGATAGTTATACAAATACCTTTGACTTGTTTTAGACTACTAGTTTCAAAAAATTACTTTTTTCCTTATGTTCTCCGCTCAAATTACATTATATAAAATGAGAGTACACATTTATATGTCCTCTCCATAGTCTAAAAGAAAGAAGTGGTAAGGTCTAAACAATTACTTCTCGTTATCCATATGCTCGATAGAAACCTAAAATATTTAAGACTAACGGCTGTTATGTTCAACTCATAAGTGTTAGTACCAAATCTAGATAGAGTTGCTGGCAATAGCATTTCCTAATTTTGATAAGCTAGCAGATCAAGGAGAAACAAATTCGGCAAAAAGGGAAAGAAAAAGGAGAAACAAATAACTTTTGATCCGCATTTAAATTTTGAGTCTTGATTCATAACGCCAAAAGTCGTATCATATTAAAAAACACAAACGCTAAGATGCCTACTATTTAATGACGAAGCCGGAAATTATAAATTCTAACAATGGAATTCGAAATAATATTAAAGTGGCATACGTGACTCTGGTAGTATATATAGGGATGTGATCTGAAGCTGGGATGAGTACTGTCCAATTTCAGTTTGTTTTTTCCTTGTACATTTTGTTTACTTTAGTAATAAAATTTTTAATTATACCCAAAAGAAGTGATTCAACTGAACCCCTTCAATTCGTGTCTTCTAACTCCACCCCTTCTACTTCTCACCTAAAACATATTAGAATCAACTCCCTCTTGAGGATCGTAGTGTTGCTAAAATGACAAGAAAGAATTTCAACCACAAACATATGTTAAACACTTCATTTACCAAAACTAAAAACGAACGGCAAAGCAAAAATTAGTTAGGTGACTCAGGTGTATGTTAAGACATGAGAAAATGAAACAGTATGGACAGTCGTATGATCAGGTTTTGAAAACTATTTAAATAATACCTACTAATTAAGATTCAATAAAGGCCTCCTTGCCCACATGCAAAGTTTCCATCTTCCTTATTGCTTGTTGAACACAACATAAAATATTATTATACAAAAAAGGGAGTGGCGGAAAATCGCAAAAGAAAATTAGGAAAAACAAAACCACAACTTGCCTTTTCTTCTGAATAGCAAGTTGGTTACAAATTGTATCAAGTTGCTAGAGCAGCTGTTTGATTGAAAGCTGCAGCCTGTAGATTCTTCAATCACAAAGACTAGTACTCTTTCTTTCCTATTTCCCAATTTATATGATAGTGTTTTTTTAATTTATATGATAGTGTTTGACTTAACATAATATTTTTTAAAAATTAAAGAAAAACTACTAAAATTTATAGTCTAAAATAGTTTTTTTTAAAAATGTGGCTATAAATTATCATATTCAGAAAAATAAAAAATAAAAAACTAAATTATTACTAAATGGAGTATAATAAATAATAGATTGGGTAAAAGAAAAAAATATCACATAAATTGTTTAGATAGTATTTAGGAGTACTAGCTAGTGTTTAACTTCTACCACTATGTAAATTCTTTTTTATACAAAGACTTAATCTTTTATCCTTATTTCTATTTCTCTGGTCAACTAATGCACTAGTTCGACTTTTCTCGAACATGTGCCCTAGCCCTAATACGGAAAATCTCCGATGAGACCATTTGCTATTTATAAAAAGAACATTAGAGTATATTAAAATGTCGTTTCCATTTCACCAGCAGGTTCATTGTTCAGAAGCCATCCATTTTATTTATCATCAACATAAAATAATGCAACTGGTGAGCCCTTGGTTGCGAAAAATAAAAGTTAAACTAGACTATTTGGAAATTAATAATCGACATTCGTTCATGGTGTCAATAAAATAACCCTGGTTGCCTACGAAAGTGGATATGTACTAAATTATTCTAAGGAGTCGTTTGGTTACAGGGTTTAGGCAGGTCACCGCAGTATAAATTTTGGGATTAAATTTGTTCTGTACTTGGTTGTGGCCTTGTGGGTATTAGCAACACCTGGATAAAATTATACCAGAATCTAGAAATTATAACCAAGGTTATAATTCATGGGACAACCTTGTCTTGAACCAAACGACCCCTAAAGGTTTTCATTTTCTAGTTACTAGGAGTAATTATCCTGTGAGATTTTCAGAGGGTGGTTGGTAACATTTTGCTTCTCACTAAAAAAATATTACTCCATTTTTTTAAGGAGCAAAAAACAGGACTTTATCTTTAATTTCTAAGGCACGAATTTACCTATCTAATATCAAAACTGTTTCCTAATTTGAGGTCTAAACGAAGTTAAAAACCACAAATCTTATCCCATCTCCACCGTCAAGCAAAGAGAAAAAAGTACCAAAACAATTAATAAAGCCAAACACAAATTTCTAGCAAAAAACAATCATGGAGTTATCTTCTTAACCTCATCATTTTCTGATAAACTTTTCAACCTTATCATGTAAGTTACAATTTAATTTAAGGAAATATGAGGGGAAGAACAATTGTAAATTGGTAAAATGCACCTTCTGTTTTGATTTTTTCAAATGCATTATTACAAGTAACCATATGTTAACAAAAAGGAAGAAAAAAAAAACTTAGAACAATTGCCTTCACCAGAATTGGGAATTCCCAAGATTTCCCAAGATTTGTTGTGAACTTTGGAGGCACTCTTAAGCAAAGATAAGAAGAAAGAAAGAAAATGAAGAAATAAAATAACAGAGAGGAATTTATGTGATGGTGACAACCAAGTATTCACATATAGTAGTAGAATAATGTCACAGAATTATCAAACAGTCACGTTGTAACAATTCCAAGAACCAACCTTACAGTCATCGAAATCTACCAATCTATGAAGTTTCAGTTCTGGGTCTTCATAATCTACAATAATAACAAATACTCTATCCATCATTCAAAACTAACAGCTCAAAACAACAAACAACCTAAATTAAAAGAGAGAAAATGTACAAAAATTAAAAAAACACAGAATTAGTCACGAGTAGTTGTTAATTTACTCTTTCTTTTAGCCAAGTTCTCTGCGATCTGCGCCAGTGACTGCAAATTGCACCGCACAATTGTATCCACAAAAACACATGTTTCTTCCTTTGTATTCCCTTGTGGAACATCAACCTCGTACGACTCCACCACCATAGTCATATTCTCGTCATCATCCGCCGTGTGCAGCGTCGTCACCGATCGGTAATTGTTAAGCCGATGATCGCCGCCGACGACACTAAAGCTGAGCACGTGTTTTTCATCGTCTAAAATCTCCAGCCTCTCCGTACTAGAAGCCGCAGGAAGTCCAGAAACAACGCGAACTTCCCTCAAGCTACCGACGTTACCATCGCCGTCAATGACGTGGCAGCTTTTAAGAAAGTGCTTGTATGCTTGCGGGTTATCGAAGCGGCGGACGAGGGACCAGACGGTGTCGATTGGGGCGGAGATGGCTTGTACAACGGCGGAGCAACACTGGTTGGGGCCCACAACGTGGGTGTGATAATGCAATACATAGTCGGGGACAGAAACGGAAACGGGGATGATCCATGTAGGCTGTGATTTCGATTGTTGCTTGTGGTAGTTTCCGGCGAGCGTGGCGGTGGATGTGGCGGTGCTTGGGTTGATTCTACGCAGCTGAAGTGAAGAAGGCATTTTATAAAATTCCTCTGCACTTTCTCTTATCTTATTGTACATAAAAGAGATGAGAATTGAGAGTATAAATCTCTAAAATGGAGATTATTAGAGATATATATATATATATATATATATATATATATCAATACAAAATGTATATGTGTAGAGTTCTAGTTCTAGAGAGAAGAAAAAAGGAATATAAATAAATCTTTGTCAAGTTGTGATTTCCTCGAAGAAAAACTCTTAAAGACAAATATTAAAGCACACTGCTTACGCTGGCTTCGCTGCAAGTGGGATTATCAACTTGCTTAAAACTCATTTGGACAGAGTCTACTTGCAATTTGCCCTTGTCGTTTTCCTTTTATTACGTGATCCGCCCTCTCTGTCCGTTATCCGAGGTTTCCTCTACTGAAATGACAAAACTAGCCCTTGCATTTTGCAATATATACAGCCGACGTTCTATGTCCTGCCAAGTACATTACAGTTCATGGGGCAATGGGAAGTAAGGCCTAAGGGATAGGTCGCAGCTTTGATTCATCTGCATGCCACCGATAAGAGAAGCAATAAAAATTGAGAAACTCTTTTTTGTTTTCTTGATCGACCTTTTTTTATTAAATAAGAGTCCGTTTGGATTGGCTTAAAAAAATAATTTTTTAATAAAAATAATTTTTAAATTAAAAAAATAATAATTAGGGATTGCCTAACTTATTATTCTTGACTTATTTTAAGCAATTTTAACTTATTTTAATTACTTTTTTATTTTTGCCTAATAATAAAAAAGCTTAAAAGCTGATTTGACCAGCTTAAAAGCAAATCCAAACAAACACGCTCTAAGTATTACTCCTTCCATTTTAATTTATATAATGTACTATAATTGGTTATAAAGTTTAAGAAAAAAAAGGTTTATTAAAATTTATAATCTAAATAAATTAAAATATTTATATGATCATGTATAAAATGTAAAATAAAAAGTTTAAGTATTAATTATTTACAAAGAATATTATTTTTATAAAAAATATATATAAAAAAATACATCATATAAATTAAGATATTGGAGTATATTTGAAAGAAGAGAAATTTGCGCTTTTAGTCCTTTAGTTTCTAATTTTAGTCCTTATAATATAATTAAATATATTTAACCTTCAATTAATTGAAATGTGTACTTTTGATCCGTCTACTTAAGAATTTTTATAAATTTAACGAAATACTAATTATTAAACTATTTAATTTATATAGTTCTAAAAATAATTTAAAACATAACATGAGTTCACTTTAAAAACACAAAAAACTACACATTTCAATTTCTTAGAGGATAAATGTGTTTAGCTAAATATTATAAAAACCAAAAATAGAATTTCTCAATAACTTGAGAGATCAAAAGTACATTTTTTCTTTGAAAGAACAAATAAAGCCAAGTTTTGTACAACTAGAAATGATTTTTAGATGTATTAATGGAAATAACACAAATTAGTTTTGCCCAAATTATTTTCAAGAACACCAGCAGTAGGTGGGCCCTGCTCCGGTGCCAAGGTCCCTTTTGGGATGTGTGTATGGGATGTGTGTATGGGTAAAAACTTATCTCTAAAATGCTTAAGTCATGGTAACATTAGTGAGGCATTCACAGGCCGCCATGCGTCGCAGATGCGACTCCATAAAGACCTGCCCATGGTCGAAGTGGTTCAAGAAACAATGAAGGTTGCGGTCGAAGAGTCAGCAAGAATTAAGGTCGAGGAATCACCAAAGATCAAGGTCGAGGTCGAACACCCTTGACAGAGTTATAACAGCTAGTTTCAAGATATGACACTAAAAAGGATATTCTTGTGGATGTTCTCTGCACTTCTACTATTAGAGTTTCTAGGAACATATTCCCTATAAATAGATAGACACAATGATAGGGGACAGGAGATATTCATTTGTAAAGAACACATTGACTTTATAGAGAGAATCTGGTCTTATTGCATATATACAAAAATAACCTTTTTACCAAGATTCTTGTCTAACATTTTCACCGGATCCAAGAACAACCCAAGTGCTCAAAGGCTTATCAATCATTCATCATTGTCAGAAAGAATAACCACTGATTTCATTCCTTTTCGGGTGACTCACACGTTTTATTTACCTAAATGATATTTGTTGCTAGTTATTACTATTTAATGCCATATTATATCTTTTTGGATCATTGAATATTGCTATTATTGCTCATAATTATTACCATCCGAATAGAATATATTAGTTATTTTATTTTAACACCAGTAGCTTTATCTTTTGGATATTATTTTTAACTAAGATTAACTCCTCTTTATATAAATAGCTTTATCTTTTGGATATTATTTTTAACTAAGATTAACTCTTCTTTATATAAATCTAATCGATTGAGCCAAAATTTATATTTTTAGTTAAACAGTTTGGCGCCGTCCGTGGAGATTTCTTAGTTAATTTTTTTAGTTCCTTTAGATCTACGTCTTACGTGAGTCACTAACCTCACAAACCCAATATCTTCCTCTTTCTTTGCACGTACAAAAACCTACATGGCAGGTAACCAATGAGAGATGACTAAAGTAACTAGTGACTTCCCTAGCAACCTCATGAACTCTATCAGCGAGAGATGTGAGACATTAGGCGAGGAAGTGACGCCCATTGCCCCTCCCCCCCCCCNCCCTCCCCCCCCCCAGGTGCGAGAGGCCGCCTCCCCCATTGTAGCATAATAAAACTAAATGGAAAATGGGACTCCATGTCTATAGAAGAAGGGACTCCACTGTCACGCCCCGAACCTGGGCCTGGACGTAACAAGACACTCGGTGCCTGACTACATGTGACCGAGCAAACCAACTGGCTGACTGAATCAGCATGTGATATCATAACATACTGAATGCGGAAAATAAACTAACACATGCCGATATACTAAAAGTCTAAATGATATAATTCACGTGCGAAAATATTAATATAAGTCTGAAACATATAGGTAGCAATATTGCTTAACATGAAAAGCCTGTGACTCTGTCTAACTATTACTCTAGTCTATGAAGCCTCTAATGAAGTACTGAAAACACTGATTGTTTGAAAATACTGAAGACTGTAAGGTAATGATAATGCCCCAAAAGAATTGAAGATCACCAAATAGCTGGTTCGAGAATCCTAGCGCTCTGAATCGTCAACCTGTAAATCATTACCTGTATCGTGAGATGCAGGCCTTGGGCAAAAGGGACGTCAGTACATTTGAATTGCACTGGTATGTAAAGCAACTGACAAAAAGAACTATAAATGTTGAAACTGAGCTGATAACTGAGAACTGATAACAAAAAACTGCAATGATAACTAATAACTGGTAACTGAAATGATAACTGATAACTGATAACTAATAACTGAACTGAACAAAGGAAGTAAGGATATGAATACTCCTTCTTCTGAATGATGAACAACCTGTTTATCTGAATAAACTATGGCCTCGGGCCCAATATATATGTGCACAAGCTATGACCTCAGGCTCAAGTATACGTATAAATAACTACAGCCTCAGGCCCAAAAAATGCATAAAGAATCAACTACAGTCTCATGCCCAAATATGCATAAAGCATAAACTACGGCCTCAGGCCCAAATATGTATAAAGCATATAAACTATGGCTTCGGGCCCAAATACAGGTGTTCAACATTCAGAGATTTAAAATTAGGAACTGAGAATCATACGGCAATACATGATACTGAAACACTAAATCACACTGAGTTACATAATACTGGAATACTGAATAGGGCTAAACTGAGACATGTATTCTTGAATTGATTATGAACACTTAAACTTCAACTGTTTATGACATGTTGAGTAATCTATACTGAGACTCGGGGGCATCAAACCCAAGTCTATATTGAATATGCACTAAGCTCACAACGTTCAGAATGAAAGTCATGAACGAGTTATGAAGCTAGAGAATAGAAGTTCTGCTACTATTCAAGGAACTAGGCTTAACTATATTTTTAAGGCAATTAGTAACATCGTAGTGTAGGGAGAATCATTAACATTCCCAAACATAGAGAGTTAGCCTCACAAACCTGGACTCTAGCCCTTTAAGTGTATCACAATGTGTGTCACCTATTTTTCAACGATAATCTATGTCAATATATATCAAGATGAACCAATATTAACACTAATTCTCATGTTTTAATCACTTAGGAATTTTATCAAACACCGTATGGACGTAAAGCCTCAAAACCCTTAGTAATTGGTCTTTTCTTCACCAAGTTCTCATTCTACTACTTTTAGGTGATTCTACAATCCCAAATAGATGTAACTAACACCATTTCTCATCACCCAAATGTTTACAACAATCATAAGTCAACAATCCAAAACCCTAGCATAGTTCTTATGGTTCTCTTTATCAAAACCATTTACTATTATCCCAAAAACTCATCAATTCATAGTTATAAATGATTAGGGAGTAGAAGCATTACCTTTTCGAAGTTCACTCCTCTTGAATTCAAGTTATAGGGTTTCCTTTCTCAACAATTGTGTCTCCACCGAATATCTAATGAGTGGAAGGATTTACCCATGTTAATAGGGTGCTGGAGAATTGAAATTAACTTAGAATCATCGTTAGAACTTACCTTGTATAATGGAGGGACCTTGGGGAAGTTAGGTTCTTGAGAGCTTCCCTTTCTAAAGTAAGTTTTCGTGTTTGGGGTGTGGGGGAACGAGGTAAGGGTTTTAAATAAGTGAACACGTCCCAAAACTGAGAAAAATAAAAATATCTCGGGTAAACCTCGTCGGCGCGAGGCATCGTCAGGGGCGCCACAATAACTGTGCAAGGCGCTATCAGAGGCACCAAAATTATAGTGCCTTGCACTGTCTGGGGCGCTGGGGATTATGCCCTGGATAGTGCCTTGCACTATAGTGCCTTGCACTGTCTGTGGCACTTAGTTTTTATGGCCTTGCACTATCTATGGCCATGGGTTTTCATGGCCTTGCACTGTCTATGGTCGTGAGTTTTCACGGCCTTGCATTGACTAAGGCTATAAGACGTACCTCCCATAAACTTAGTCGATTCTATCGAATTTTATACACCTTACTATCGGTCTTGATTCCAAAATAACAGTTTTCACCCATACTTATCCCGATATGACTTCACATTAATAC